GGGGGGGGGGGGGGGGGGGGGGGGGGGGGGCTTTTGCAGCACTTTCATCTTTTTCTCCTGAACAGATTTTCTGCAGTAGGAAAACAGATGGAAGAAGCCATGGGAAAACATGGGATCGTTACCCCATGGGGCCCCATGGGGCAGGAGGCACACCCTTACAGTGCAACCGATGCCCAGTCTCCCTCACCCATTTCCATTCCTTTCCTCTGCTGCTTCACTTAAGGGGAAGGTTAGAGGCTAAGCAAAGCCCTCTTCTGCCTGGCATATAATCGCAATCACTATACTTCATTTGGCATGAATGCTAAGGTTAAGGTGCTGTTAAAGGGAGAGAAGCAAGGTCAGTCAAAAAGGGGTCACGGGAGCAGGAAGAGCGGAGGGACGGCATTGCTCAAGAGCCACCCCCCCTCCAGGATTCCTGCAACATTCTGGGTCCTCCCAGCAAAGGCTCTTGCAGTACAGAGCGATCCAGAGTCCTCCGCTATGGCTGAAAGCCGCAACACCCCAACAGGCCACGCAGCAACCTCCCCCCAAGGTGCTGCCCAGAGTCACTCGATGTGCCTGTGACTTGCACTTTTGTGGCTGTATCCACACTCCCCAGCCCCCTTCTCTTCTCTTACCCGAGGATATAGCCCAGGATCCCAAGCTGGATCAGGCGGAACAGGACTCCAACCTTTCTGTTCCTGATCACGGCAAACTTCTCTGTCTTATAATCCAGAATGCCGAAGCAGGAACTGCTCCAGGGATCCTCCATCGCTGGCTGGCTGGCTGGCTGCGAAATGCCGTCGGCAGACCACAGCGGCACACACTGCATCCTGGCCCACTGCCCAGTGGAGCTGAAGAGGCATCTCCCTAAATAGTAAATAAAACATGTCAAAGGCTTCGCACTTGGTCTCAGCATCACTGCGAAAGGCAGGGAGGAGAGAGACCTGCAGATGGGACACCAGCCCTCTAAAAGCTGTGGGTTGGGAAGGTTAGAGTCCTCCTGCTGCCAGGAAGTAGCAGGCACTCATTCTGCTCCAAGGCAGCGCATCTGTGTGCTGCCCCTGTAAAACTTGCTCATGGATTTCACTCTCCACTGACAACATTTGAAAGCACAATTCAGTGAGACCAGCTATTTCATTTTTATCATGCCTGGCACTTTACATGCACAAAGAAACATAGTGTTGGGAAAATTCTGGTAAATCCTGGCAGAAAAGGGTTGCTTGTATGTGCCTTTGGGTTATAAAATCAAACCTGCACCCCTTTCTGAGAAGGCAGCAGAATGCCAAGCCAGGTCACTGCTTAGTGCTGCTGTTCCCTTAAGGAGAGGGAATTCTTAGCTGGACTGAAAAGCTGCTGGAGGCTGACAGGATCAGTGGGGAACACCGGTGTTCTCATCAGCTGCAGAAAGACTGAAACAAGCGTGCCCCTTTGTTTCTGAATGGACCCGCCTAAGCCCCTGGTCCCACAGAGGGGAGTGCCTGCCGAGTGTGGTTGCCAAACTAGACTTCCTGAATTTGCATGTTTAAACAGGATCCCAACTGCAAAGAGGTCCACACAAGTCACAGGTCAATAAAGCAACCAGGAATGTTTTCCATACTACTGTTACCAGTATTTCTGATGGTTTAGAACATTACGTTGCCTCAAGACGTCAGGATGCTATTGGACTAAGATTATCTGGAAACGTAAATCTCTATACTGGGGTATGCACCTAGCAGGTTCTAAACAGCCACACAACACGGCTTCCGCAAAAATAGGTCCTGCCAGACAAACCTTGTGGAACTCTATGACACGGTTTCGAGATGGCTAGATGGAGAGGATGCAGTGGATGTGGTTTACCTGGATTTCAGCAAGGCCTTTGACAAAGTGCCCCATGATATCCTGGTGGAGAAACTAAGGAGTTTTGGGATACACCAAAGCACTGTCTGGTGCATTAGGGCATGGTTGACTGACCGAAAGCAGAAGGTAACCATTAGTGGGGAATCATCGGGATGGCGGCCAGTGACAAGCGGGGTCCCCCAGGGCTCTGTCCTGGGGCTGATCCCGTTTAATCTTTTCATCAACGACATGGAAGAAGGGGTGAACAGTCTGCTGATCAAATTCGCAGATGACACTAAAACTGGAGCAGTGGCCAACTGAGGAGCAGGTACTCCAGATCCAAAAGGATCTGGACAGACTATGGAAGTGGGCAGGAGACAACAGGGTGGCGTTCAATGTGGATAAGTGCAAGGTCTTGCACTTGGGGCATAGGAATGGGTGTCATAAGTGCAGGTTAGGGGACAAGTGGCTGGAGAGCAGCACTTGTGAAAGGGACCTCGGGGTGCTGGTTGACTGCAGGCTAAACATGAGTCAGCCGTGTGATGCGGTGGTCAAGAGGGCGAACGCCACCCTTCGTTGCATAGCCAGAAGTGTGGCTTCTAGATCAAGAGAGGTATTACTGCCACGCTACACGACTCTGGTGCGCCCGCAACTGGAGTATTGTGTTCAGTTTTGGGCCCCTCATTACAGAAAGGATATAGCCAGGTTGGAGTCAGTGCAGCGTAGGGCCACAAGGTCAGTGGCCGGTTTGCAGGGGATGCCGTATGAGGCGAGACTGAGGGAACTGGGTCTCTTCAGCCTGGAGAAGAGGAGGCTCAGAGGGGATCTGTTGGCGACATACAGGTACATGAGGGGGTGTCACACGGAGGTGGGGAGAGACCTGTTCTGCCCTGCAGAGGAAGGCAGGACTTGCTCCCATGGAGCCAAGCTCAGGGAGCCAAGGTTCAACTGGGATGCCGGGAAGCACTTCCTGACAGTCGGGACCTCGAGGGTGTGGAATGGGCTTCCACGGGAGGTCATTGAGGCCCCATCAGTGCGGTTGTTCAAGGATAGGCTGGACGTGCACATGGTGGACATGTTGTGAGTGGAGCTGGCTGGAGCTGGGGGTCAGACTAGATGGCCTGGGAGACCCCTTCTGATTTGCTCTGTTTCTATGTTTCTAAAAGTGTCTGTCCACGGGCTGTGATTGTGCAGCTGGCGGTGGGGACCACGAGGTGGTGGCATGCCATTGCAAGTCACTGCAGGGCCCCTGGGTGTTCTTTCAGTAAAGTTGCTGAGGTCCAAGGTGAAAGGGGTCTTTCCTCGCTGAACCTGGTCATCCTTGTTGCAGCTGCCATCAAGGCTTCCCGACAATAGAAAAATTATTCCCATTTTAGAGATGTAGAACTGAGGCGATTTGCCTGAGACGGGTACTCACTTTTGTTTCAAATTTTGCTATGTGCAAAAGAAGCTGTGATCTGTGAACAAATGCAAAGTGGGAGCACAATCAGCAGAGACATCCTCCAATGTGTCCAGCTCTCCTCATCATGTTGCCCAGCTCCCTGCACAAGCTGCCCACAGCATATCAGACACCTCGGATGAAACTTGGTACCCAAACTCAGGAGACAGTCCTCTGCTCAAGCTCCCAAACCATTTTCAGTGGGCCAGGAAAGAGCGGGGGAAAGACGATGCAAGGTGAAATCTCACTTGGCCTGCAGCCTGGTCCCAGCAGTGACCAGCCAGGTGCCTGCACAAAGCCAAGAAGAAGGCCGTGGAACCAACGACCTCCCCCTGGCCTTTGTCCCTCGTGCCTGGACTGAGACTGGAGGCTGTGGCCAGCCACCCCGATATTCCTACTCCACGATTTGCCCGTTCTGTTTAAAAGCTTTCCAAGAGCGTGGTCCTATGCATGGTTAGGAAGGAAAAAGCCCTACAATGCCAAGCTCCCTGCAGCCAGCATAGGACTATTCCATAAGTTCCCATCAGGACATGGTATGGAAAAAGTTTCCACGTGCTGATAAAGAACTGCAAAATCTGTTTGTTGGCACTGGGAGAGTTTTCAGATACCAAAACTCTTCCATCTGAAGAGATGTTAAATTTATTTGTGCCCCTGTATGCATTTACTTTTTTTAAAAGTGCATTTTAACAGTATTTCTATTGCAACATTTCAAGAAAAGAAAAAATGGTTATTAGATCTGAATATATCACTTTTAATGCAAGAATCAGATGTAAACATCAAAAAAGCAGGACAAACATCCAATAAGTAGCTGTTTGCAGGTGCCATCTTTACGCGCCCTATTCAGATGTCGAGAGTGTTGTAAGATCTCCAGTCTATCGCACTATGAGAGCTGAGCATTTATGCGGCTAACACTGCAGTATCCATCTTTTAGCAGCTGGAAGGGAGCAAAGAACCATTTGCACTGACCATTTCAATTCCAGGAAGCAGCTACACCATTTAAGAGTACGTGTGTCAGGAAATATTAAGCTGTGATCTTGTATGAGATTTATTTGTATAGTGACCTCCTCTTCAAAAAAGGTGCTGCAAGAATTGCGTGTGTCTCTAGCCATGAGTCACCTTTTCAAAACATTATAGTGAAACAGAATTCAAAATCAAGGGCCTTTTCCTGCAGGCTGGGGCAGCAGCTACCCCTTCCCTGGAGCCCTTGGAGGTATGCGGCATGATCCTGCACAAATGCAGACAGTGTTGGGAAAATTCAGATAAATCCGGGAGAAAAAGGTTGCTTATATGTGCCTTTGTATCATAAAATCAGACCTGAGCCCCTTTCTCAGAAAGCAGCAGAATCGCAAGCTGGGTTACTGTTTAACGATGCTGTTTCTTTAAGAAGACAGAATTCTTAGCTGGACTGAAAGGCTGCTGGAGGCTGACACTCTCAGTGGGGAAATACCTGTGTTCAGACCTGGAGAGGAAGGCATTCATTTGTCTCTGAATGGACCCATTTAATCATCTAGTTCAACAGAGGCAAGGCCTGCAGCTTAGTTGTCAAACCAGTTTTCCAGAATGGCTCCTCCATCAAACACATTTGCAAGTTTAAACAGACACAGGGGCTGATCCAAACTGCAAGGAATCTAATTAATTGGCATGTCAATGAAGCAATCAGTAATATTTTCCATACTATTGTTACCAGTATTTCTGATTAGTTCATAGAATCATAGAACAGTAGAGTTGGAAGGGGCCATGAAGGCCATCTGGTCCAATCCCTACTGTTGCAGGACACCAGTTTGCGCCACCCCACTCAGAGGGCTGCCCAGATTCCCCTTGAATGTCTCCAGTGTGGGAGAGCCCCCCACCCCTCTCGGCAGCTAGTTCCACTGTTGTATTGCTCGGACAATGGAGAAGCTTTTCTTGATGTCCAGCTTGAACTTATTATTCCGTGTCCTGCACTCTGGCATCAGCGAGAAGAGAGCTTGACCTTGCTCTTTCTGACAGCCATTGAGGTACTTCTAGAGGAATATCATGTCCCCCCTCAGTTTTCTTTTCTCAAGAAGAAAAGTTCTGCAGGGTCCACAGCCTGGGGGTGCTCCTTGACCCGGAGCTGTTTTTGGAAGCTCAAGTGTCGGTGGTGGCGAGGAGTGCTTTCCTCCAGCTCCAGCTGATCCATCAGCTGCATCCCTAGCTGGAGGACGAATGCCTGGCGACAGTGACACACACATTGGTCACTTCCTGATTAGACTTCTGCAATGCGCTCTACGTGGGGCTTCCCTTGAAGACAGTCCAGATACTTCAATTGGTGCAAAATAGCGCTGCCAGGTGGCTGACGGGGACTGGGTGTTGTTCCCATATAACCCCAGTCCTCCATCAGCTTCACTGGCTCCCCATTGAAGTCCAGGCCCAATTCAAGGTGCTGGTGATTACCTATAAAGCCCTAAACGGCTTGGAACCTGGGTATCTGAAGGAGCACTTGCATCCATACTTGCCCTCCTGCCGAAGATTGGCGGCAGAGGCCCTTCTCCGGGAACCCTCCGTGCAAGATATTAGGAGGGTGA